GCTTAGTCTGTTGAGTTTACTTAGATCGATCAGCTTGGTCTGATGAGTTTAGTTTGATCAATAAGCTCTATCCAATTAGTTTACTTAGATCGATGAGCTTGGTGTGATAAGTTTACGTAGATCTAAGGGCTTGGTCTGATGTGTTTACTTTGATGGACTAGCTTTCTCTGATGACTCTACTTAGGTCGTTGAGCTTCGTCTCATGAGTTTACTTAGATCGATGAGATTTTTGTGATGAGTTTACTTAGATCGAAGGGCTTAGTCTGATGAGTTTACTTAGATCGATGAGCTCGGTCCAGTGAGTTTACTTAGATCGATGAGCTCGGTCTGATGAGTTTACNGGGCAACACTGAGGGTTGCGATCCGTTGCCGGACATGGAAAAAGAAAAAAAAAAAAAAAAAAAGGAATGGCATGCCAAAACTGGGGTCTGGGCTGGAGGTGGAAGAGTATGTATAATCTGGAGAAGTAGGTGGGAGGCCAATTTTAGAAAATAAACATGTATATTCTATGACTTTTAAGGCTTAAAACTTGAAACCAGAGCTTGGAGTATTAGGCCAAACCAGAGAACATTGTCAAGGTAGGTTTGGAGTCCAGATGGTTGCACCAGGGACAGCTCTAAGAGATCAAAAGTGAGCAGCAAATGTAAGTAGAGATAAAGTCTGAGCAAAAAGAGATAGAACATAGCTCCAGGTTTAAGGTAGGCACCAGGAAAAAGGTGAGGAATGGAATTACATTCACAAGACTGGAAACTGTAATTCAGTTTCTTGATCAAATGGGCAGGTGATCATAGTAGCAAACCTACTATGTGATTGACTTTAGGAAGTGAGATGTTTGCCTTTGTTCTGATTCTAAAGATTCTTGAGAATGGAAAAGGCTGGCATAAGGTAAGAGGTAAGGCAACATAAGTATATTTTGCTTGCCTGGCAAGGTAGAGTTTTATAGGTTCTGGTGATTGTAGGAAATGGCAAGGTCCTTCCTTTAGGGAGTGCTTGCAGTTGTAACAAATCAGGGAGACAAATCCAGACGCTCAAACAATAATGAACTCTTCTTACTAGAAAACCTGTCTTAGATCATTTTAATCTGGAAGATCCTTGATATTTAACTTTGTGCTGAAACAAAGAATTCCAAGTTAGGTCATCAAGAGATAGACTTTCACAGGGACCTTTGGATCAGGATGTGACTGCAGCATGAAACCAAAGTATAGATCTACCTCATGCTGCCTAGAGTGTGGAGCCTGCTTTTGGCACCTGGACCAACTCAGCCTGACCTCAGAGAAGGAGGTATGGTCAAGGTATGATAGGTCTATGATCTGCTTTCAGCATTTCTTCCTGAACCTCATCCCCCACCACATTAGTCAACTTGCCATACATTCATCTCTGGGGATTCAGATGGTTCTTTTTATGACTTGAAATGCTGCCTAGAAAAATATAACTAACACATTTATTATTATGAATACGTTTATAGGATGATTTTAAAAAGTAAATGAAAGGGAGAAACAACTTTCCCTTAAGTAGGAATAACATGGTTCACCAGTAAAGAAGATGAGATCTAGAAAAGAGTCAAAAGGCATCACTGAGCTTAAGCACTACTATTCCACTCCTCCCACCATTTTTCTCTTAACTGAGGTGTACACTTCTTTATAAACTAATAAATATACTTTCCATAGCAACAGCAGTTCAGGAGTCGTAAAGGGAGTGTGAGTGGTTTACTTTCTTGTTTTTTCAGGCACAGTAATCTTGGTGGACGACCAAAAGGGCTATCCACTCTGGTGAAGAGTGGTGTTCCTGAAGCGTTGAGGGCAGAGGTGTGGCAGTTATTAGCAGGCTGCCATGACAACCAGGCAATGCTGGACAGATACCGAATTCTTATCACAAAGGTAGGAAGCTCTTTTCATTTTTCATATTATTTTTATGAGATAACGTTAAAAAATCGTGTTTTTCATAGCTTGCAGAAGTCATAAATGCTTTGGACTTCTTTAAAGAATATATTGGAGTTGCTCAGTCAATACTTCTGCCTTTTGTTCTGAACACTTGTTGGATAGTGGTAACCATGCATGTAGCTATCTATGAACGCTTTATGCTTTGGCATTCCTTTTTTCATTCAAGTGAATTTCTAATAACTGTTTATTAAATTGGGATGTATTTATATTTTAAGTGTTTTCTAACTTTTCAACTAACCTTATTGTATGAGATTTATATACATACTCATACATAGTTACACTCATACATAGTTACTGTAGTACAATTTTTTTTTTCCTTTTTGTC